TGTAGCGCGGCTACACGGGGCTCGAACTAGGTAGTTCGGACTAGGGTGCCTATTCCGAACTACCGTTACTCCTCGTGAAACGTGAAACGAGGAGTAACGGTAGTTCGGAATAGGACCCTAGTCCGAACTACCTAGTTCGAGCCCCGTGTAGCCGCTGTCCTCTGTCCCCAGAATTCACTGAGGATTTCTGTACTAGCCAGGAAGACAGAGGAGTGGAATGGGAGGAAGTGGGAGGAGAAGGGAAAAGTGCTTTGATGTGGCACCAAGAGGGTATGTCACTCTGTGTTTGGCACTCATAAAAGGAGGTTTATTTATGTCCTTCACTTTTACCTCTGTTTACTTATGTGCTGAGTTTATTCTAGTTTGTGAATCAGAGTGGCAATGGGAAGGTAAAGGGGAGTGATTTGAAGAGGTACTGAGCTTTGGATTCTGTATGACAGATGAAAGGATGAAGGAAGCGAGAAAAACCAGCCTGGAAAGTGGAACAAATAGCATGGAGAGGAGCTAGAGAGATGGAGTTTCTTTGTGGGCTGTTTGAGTTGTTGGGTTAATGGGACAGTCTTCTCAGCTCCTCTGTCAGCTGCAGTCTTTCCAACTGTGGGCTGAACCAGACCCTCCTTTAGCACAGGTCTTTCGATGTGGATTTGTAGATGTGGATCATTTCTAGTGTAAAGGTAACATTACAAGAGTTGCTGGGGGTGGGGACTGTAAATAATGAGGTCATGGCTCAGAAGAAGGGGCGACTTTGTGGGTGTTTGGTTATCAGTGCATTAGTCTTTTCCTTGTTTATTTTGTGGAGGTATTAAGAATAGTACAGCCATGCATTCATCCACTGCTGAGGCCAGCAGAATGTGCACCACCTGGATATTGGTGCTGAGATAGAGGCACTGCAGTGGGCAGCAGGGTTATTAATAAACCAAACAGGCATATCTAGCACAGTAGAATTATTGGACCTGATTGTGTTTATTGTACAGCATATAACCTGCAGAAGGGGCAGTAGTTTACTGTGTGATTTGATGACAGGAGTCTATATCTGTCCATATTGCAACTTTTTGTACTTGGGACTCTTCTGTTTAATTCACATCTTCCTTTCTCATGTGAAGGGAGGGGGGGGTGTTAATCCACGCTCTTGGGGATGAAGTTCTTTGATTTTTTGTGTGCTGACCATTTCCTGCTCCACTATTAACTAGGTGAGCTCTTGTACACTTAGCCAGAGTGAAGGGGAGAATAAGGAGCGCTTGAATATGATATTGCTGGTGCAGGGTGGCTGAGGTGCAGTGTGAACACAGAGGACTGGTTAACAGAGACTGCTAATCCAGCCTGTGGTGTTCCATCTTGTGCTGAACTGCTGCTGCTGCTCACATGTGTATAGAATGTTGCATGCTGGGAACTGTAGTCTCCAGGGATTGCACCTCTATTAGATGAAAAAGATGTCTGCAGTCTACTTATGCTCATTAGGTATCTTCCTTGGGTTTCTGGCAAGCGATCCGTTGGGAAAAGTTTGTGGAGATCTTATATTCATGAATGAAATGTAGGCAATTGAAGTGTGTTCACCTGCTCTCTCCCCCATGTCTCTTTCAGATTGACCCAAAAGTAGCATTCCCCCGCCGAGCACAGCCCAAGGTAGGTAGCATGTGCAGCTTTTACAAATTGAAAAGGGACAACTCAAGGAATTTGAATTCTCTTTGTGCCTTTGTCAAGAGGGTGCTGGAAGGGTGTCTTGGTGCATCTACTGGCACTGACTTAATCTCTTCCAACCTTAATGATGAGCTTTGGTGCCCCACCTCCAGATTTGCATTCTGTTGTGCATGATCTAAATCATTATGGAGCTTTGAGATGCTCTTGTGATTGCCAGAGTGGGGTTGGAACCGCTCAAGCTCCACTTCACTGTGGTTTGAGTGTGCTTCATGGAAGGAGCTGATGAAATGCAGAACTCTGCTCAAGAACATATCACCTTCTGCTCTTTGGTAGCCTGCATCTGGAACCTTAGGGCCTGCAAGAAACATGAAGTCATTCCAATCTGTGGCAGAAGACGTGTAGGATGACCTGGGGAAAAGTGTGGGAGAAAAGACTTTGTTTTGTGGACTGGCCAGGTGCCAGCACTAGAAAAGGCTAGAGAGTGAAGGACGTTGGGCCTCACCTGCACTAGGAGGGTGGATGCTCCGTGGAAGTGAGCAGCTGTGGGGGTTCTCTCAGATGCTCAATGGGAAACTTGTAAGTGCGGAGTGAAGAGCAAATTGGCAACTTGCCTTCAAAGTGGAGTAGCGATTTGGAAGTCTCATTTAACTGGGCTGGGGAATGAGAGCCTACAATCACCCCCAAGTACTGCAGCGGGAGAAAAAAGGGCTGGTGAGGAAGAGCAGGAGGGGAGAGAACTGCAGAGTGGAGGAAGAGAATGATGGGGGGAGGGGGGAAAGCACAGGAGATCAGGAGCTGAGAACAATTAGTGAGCAGGTATCCTGAATATGGAGCCAAGAAGCACATGGTAGGAATTGGGTTAATTCCATTAAGCAGTTTGGTGACAGAAGGTGCTTTAGTGTTAGAACAGGCTGCTCTCCAAGCCATGGAATTGCTGCGCATTAGCCCTGTGCTCCTTGGGATAATTAGGACCATGTGTTCCTGCTAGAGCAGGGGTGTGGCCAAGGGGCTGACGGGAGGATGCAGCTGGAGCATCAGTTCAAAGAACAGCCGTGTGTCTCCTCTGGTTCCTGTGGGTGGAGGACAAGAAAGGGGAGGGTTTCTTCCTTTGCCTTCTCCCAAATGCGCAGGAAGGCTTAACTGGGAGTTTGCTCTGGCTCCTTAAATCTGATATCTTAGGAAAGGGAGTGGAGTGAAGCTTGTAGGAGTGGACGCTGCACTATTTTCAGACCTATGGGCCATGGAGATCTCCCCCTCACTTCACAGCCATGCTCTGCTTTCCCGTTTCAAGGAAACTGTGGGGAGGGAGGGTGTGTTGGGGATTGGCAGGGTGACAGCAGTGCCCTGTGTGAGTGACAGGAGGGTTGGGAAGGAGATGGCATCACTCTGTGTGTTTGCTAGGAGGTTTGTGAAAGTGGTTAGCAGGGGAGAGCTTTTTAACATGCTAAATCTGTCCCCAGGGGGTTAGCGGGGAGAGAGTGGCAGTGCCTGGCAAGTCCCCTAGGCAGTTGGTGAGCTTGTGCATGCTGCGGGGGGGGAGAGACAGCATTATTGGGGGATGTTTGGATGGTGCTGAGATTGCACTTGAGCGATGGAGTTTCACAGCATGAAATTTCTGGGGCCTGAAACATGTCCTCCATTAGATACAGTGTTTTGTTAGGGGACTCTGCTCCTCAGGACAGTCTTCCCATGGAATACAGTGCGTAGCATGTTCTTCAGCTTTCAGCAGGGGAGGTTTTTAGAGACAGATCTTGTTTTCTGCTAACTCTGTCCCTGTCCTCCCCTTTCCCAGATGGTAACACAGACAAAGAAGATATTTGTGGGGGGTCTCTCTGTGAACACTAATGTGGAGGATGTGAAACAGTATTTTGAGCAGTTTGGGAAGGTAAGTCTGATGAGTGAGGTTGAATCAGGGTGGTCTTTGTGCTGGGAAGGAAGGGGTGTTTCCTGGTGATCAGTGTTTTGCTCTACTGCTGCTATGCCACCACTTCTGGGGTAGAGCACAGCAACTGTTAAAGTGCACAAAACCATTACAGAATTACTTAGGACAGGAAATGAAGGATACCATAGGCAGTTAGAACTTGTCGGGTATTTTAGAAAGGTAGAATGTAATTATGTTGGAATCTTGCCAGCACAGAGGGGTTAGTACCCTAACTTTTGCAAAAAGTGCCATGAAATGTTGAATGACCATGACAGATGAGGACTTCAGAATTTGTGTCTTTTTTTTCTAAAAGATGGCACCAGCAGCACCCCAGGGGAGGGTATAAGATAGCTTTATGATGTGTGAATGCCTTAACTTTTGGAGAGAAGAAAATGGTTTGGAACAGAAGAAGATGCCATCACCAATTGGCTGTGTCATATCAATGTTGCTTTCAGGAATTCTTTATCACCTGTAAAGTTAGATTCTTCTTCTTCTTCTTCTTCTTGGAATGGTGCTGTCCGGTACCTTTGCTTTGTCTTGTGGACTGATGGATATGTGCATCCTGGGATGAACAAAATATACATCACAGTAACTTGCAGCTACTTAATGCTTCCAGTCAGTCTTGTAAGAAAAGGGAAGTGCTCTGGGAATCAATATATACGTTAGACACTTCTTTACATTTTTTTCTGTAGTCTAACACAGAAAGTAAATGTGCTGTCTCCATATGTCCTGTTCCATGGTGATATCTCTAGAGTACCATTGCAGGAGTCATGAGCCTGCACAATGGCCACAGAACTGTTTTGATCAGTAGTTAAAAGTCAGGGGCACATTCCTCTCCATTTAGCCTTAAGTTCCATAGAGCACAAATACTCCATATCTGGTAATCGTCCCTCTGCCTTCCAAATGGAGTATCACAGAACCAACCTCTCCCTTCGGTCATGTAAGACTTAGAGCATTTGTACATGTCTTAATATATTTGTATAGTTTGTTTTAGTTTGGAGAATGCACACTTCTCCTTTCTAACTTTTTGACTGTTTTATCAGGGTTATCTTGGGCCTTGCTGGAGAGAAAATGCTATAAAAAGATTGGCTTTAAATAATGTTCCTCTTGGCCTATGTTTCCTGCTTCATAAAAACACAAAAAGTGACTTTCATGCCTGGGGAAATCCTGTGATGGCTTGTAAGGGCCCCTTCTAAAAGGACCAAAAGAGAAAACAGTAGAACTTTTTACTGTCATAGGCTTTGGCGGCACAGTATTCTAGGAGACCTTCTGTGGAGGAGTGTCTAGGGCTGTGTTAATGTGTCTTTTGAAATCTTCCTTAGGGTATGTCTACACAGCAACATTATTTTGAAATAATGAGTGTTATTTTAAAATAACATAGCCCACATCTACACAGCAGGCAGTTATTTCGAAATAATGTCAAAATACTGTCAAGCTGGAAGACTTCTGATTCCAACTCCTGTAACCCTCATTGTACAAGGGGTAAGGGAAGTCGGAGGAAGAGTGCTCTATTTTGAAGTAAGTGCCATGTAGATGCTCCCTATTTCGAAATAAGCTGTTTTGAAACAAGCTACGCAGTTGACATAGCTCAATTTGCGTAGTTTATTTCGAATTAAGCTCTGCTGTGTAGACTCACCCTTAGAGTGGAGGCCAAGAGAGAATTCAGAGGCAGAAAGGGAATGTCCAAAGTTTAAAAGATTGGTTCCCCCAGCTAAGATGCCAGGTTCCTTGGACAGGACTGAAGGGAGAAGTTCATACAGTGAGCCTCCTGGGGAAAAAAGGAATGTTCCAGAAAGCATCCTGTAGTTGGACCTAGGTTAACTCTCTGATGTAATTGGCCTGCTTGGATCATAGGAGTTTCCCCACAAGGAAGGGGCCTCTTAGATCTGGGTTGATTGGAGTGATCCTCAGCTTCAGGGCATCCTTCTGATTCACCTGGCCACTCCAACAGAAATATACACCCTCAGAGCTCTTGTGCAAGGAATGTCCCCATTCTCAAAGCCAAGCCCCAGCTGCTTCTCCTGGGGGGAGGGGTCATTTCCAAAGAGGCTCTCTCCAAAATAGTCTCCTACTGGCCATCCTATTGGTGGGGATGATTCCTTGGTGTTGCGATTCTGAGGCAAGCCAGTGCCTCCCTCAGGACTGGAGGGTTCTCAGCTCCCATGAGATCTGAGTTCAGCATGGTATGGTATCCAGGCCTAGGAAATACTGTTCCACAACAGTCAGCTATTGTTCCTCTTCCTGGGGAGACTTATTTTAATACAGTGACATCTTTGGAACCTTATGTGTTCTCCTGGAGAACCCCATTAAAGTGTTACACAGGATCTCCTCCTTAGGGGTACCCTGCCTCTTTTTTGTCTGGTTCTGTGGTTCTCCCACATCTTCAGTTTAAGAAACTGAGGTGACCTAGGTTGTCTCCTCTGCCCAGAAAGTCTTCTCCAAAGAAGGCAGTCTCCTTCGGGACTACCTGGCCCCTCTCTGACTCCATATCTAGCAGCACCAGTGATCCACAGCACATTGGTACTTTGAGAGGCAGGAATTGGTGAGGACTGTCCTCTAAGGTCCCCCTTGTACCTTAACAACAGCCTTTACTACTACTCCCCCTCTGCTGTGACACCAGTGTCTCCCAGGGTTTGTCAGACACTATGTGGCTTCGATTTGTCAGACTCCTAGATCCTTCTGCCCGTTCCCAGGGAAAGATTTGGATTGTTCTTCCAAAATCCTACATCAAGCTCAAGCATGCTCTCAGCTGCAAGTGAAACATTTTAAAGCTGGGAAGTTGTCATCTACTTCTGGGGCAAGAGGTTCAAACAACTGAATGTGTTGAGGTGGAAGATTAATTGCTAGTCAAGCCTGACACTACAAGCCTAGGAATGTGATAGATTCTCATTCAGGTTAGGAACTATTGAGAAAAGCTAAACGTACACACATCCATGGGTCCGGACTTAATGCATCCGAGGGTACCGAGGGAGTTGGCAAATGTCATTGAGGAGCCTTTGGCCATTATTTTTGAAAAGTCGTGAAGATCGGGAAAAATCCCGGATGATTGGAAAAAGGCAAATGTAGTGCCCATCTTCAAAAAAGGGAAGAAGGACGATCCAGGGAACTATAGGCCGGTCAGTCTTACCTCGGTTCCTGGAAAAATCATGGAAGGGATCCTTAAGGAATCCATTTTGAGGCACTTGGAGAGGAGCCTTTGGCCATTATTTTTGAAAAGTCGTGAAGATCGGGAAAAATCCCGGATGATTGGAAAAAGGCAAATGTAGTGCCCATCTTCAAAAAAGGGAAGAAGGACGATCCAGGGAACTATAGGCCGGTCAGTCTTACCTCGGTTCCTGGAAAAATCATGGAAGGGATCCTTAAGGAATCCATTTTGAGGCACTTGGAAGAGAGGAAAGTGATTAGGAATAGTCAGCATGGATTCACCAAGGGCAAGTCGTACCTGACCAATCTGATTAGCTTCTATGATGAGGTAACTGGCTCTATGGTCGTTGGAAAGTCAGTGGATGTGATACGGTCTCCCGCAATATTCTTGCCAGCAAGTTAAGGGAACGTAGATTGGATAAATGGACAGTAAGATGGATAGAAAGATGGCTAGAAGGGCAGGCCAGCGGGTAGTGATCAACGGCTCGATGTCAGGATGGCGATCAGTTTCTAGTGGAGTGCCCCGAGGTTCGGTTCTAGGACCAGTTTTGTTCAATACCTTTATTAATGACCTGGATGAGGGGATG